GACATGCTCATTAACTAGTTTATATTAGTGACGAAATCATTGGAAAGCAACAATAAACCCGTCTACATGTATTCTACATGAACATTAATGTTTTTTTCTTTGTGGGATTTCTGGACTGCAACTGAATCTCGGTCAATTTGTAAAAGTCCAACATCATATACTTTATAATATGGGCCGCCGGCAACAGCTCTTTTTTTTTGCATCGCGTAGCTAACATAGATCGTTCACTGGCTTGTAACGCTGCTGCCATGACAGACGCCAAGAGTTCGATTTTTCCAGCGGGACAACCAGTCCCTCTACCACTTGCTCATCATTTCGATAGTAAATTAATACTGGCGCGCGGCAATTAGTCAAAATTGCCATCTTTTGAGCGATCCTCACTATTCACAGTACTGACAGCGAAAGGTTGCTGTTAGCACATGTAACCATTCGAACTCGAGTGTCTCCGCTTTTCAAGGAGAATGAAAAGTGCACAAAGGCTTTGCAGCTATGAAAGATCAGGCCTATGAAACTAACTTTCGAAAACTAATTTTGAAGAATTCCGAATAAAAGCCAAGTTAAACTCAGTATGCGCTACTAAAAGGGGCAAAGATATTCCAATACAATTCTAGAAAAAAAAAACTTTTAATGCCTCAGAAAACAACGCCTTCGGTTTGGCCAATGTCTTGCATTAACCATATAGAGCCACGCAAGTGACTGCTTGGATCACCGAAAAAACTTGCTATTCGAAGCAATCCCCAGGCAGCAGATACTGCTTGAGATGAGGACATTCCTGCAGCTAGGCTCTTGTGAGCAAAAGCCGAGAGTAAAGATGAAAACAAAATGCAGAAGGGTGATAGGTCATTCACTAAGCGAAGAAGCATGCTTAAAGTATGGCGTCTCCGGGATTTTAAAGATAATTTCATGATGTTCAAAAAAAAACTGGTTGAGTAAATGACGTGAAAAAAATACGCTTCAGCCTAAACGCATTTTCTGTGAGAAATAAGCAAAAAAGAGACTGTGCTAGTATGAAAAGAGTACGCGGAAAAGAACGGCACAAAAAGATAAAATCTAGAAAAAGCCTACTCCAGAAATTGCAAACACTGATAAAGCATCAAAGCGCGGAAGATGCTCCGGGAATTCCAGCTGCGTATTTTTTTTTCTCATTCTGGATGTTTGAAAATTGAGTGGTCAGCGGATGATAAATTTGCAGCGGCTGGTGATGAACAGGCACGCACGATAGAAATGAATATTCGCATTGGTCTTCATAATACAGTATGTTTTCGGTTGGAAAATGACACCAGTGACAGGGATTCGCTGTTTGCCGACGTGCTCACTGTGAGGTACTAGCCTACTGTGCTTTTTCATGTAAATCAGAGGCGCTGCTCTTTTAAGTGCAAAAAACAGGTGGTGAGTACCAGTTTGTACAAAGCTCTAAAGAGATGGGATCTAGTTCTGTGAGCGCAAATTTCTAGTGTTCTTGGGATGCACTCCAGCATCAAACACTGTAATTGCAAACCCACTTTCTAACTGAATTATTATGTCTTTAGTTCGTATACATCGTAAAAAACATATGCAACTTTTCAAGAAGACTGTTGATAATTTAGCTCTGAATAACCAGCAACCTCGCTAACTGATTTAACGCATAACATGTGAAAGTGTTGTCATCCATATCTTTTTTCTGCTCCAAGCGATTTTGTGTTTAATATATTAGCGAAGAAAGCATGCGAAAAATGAATAAGTCTAGTTGTCTGATAATTCATGCATTCCAAATGTCCTCACCTACTCTCGCAAATAAAACAGCTTATCAAAACTGATTGCAGAAGTCAGGATCAAGGATGGTTGCACACCCTCACACTATCACAATTGGAGCACCATCATCCGATTTCGCAACAGTACGAGTTTGCGATCCCGGAAGTCAGGGCTTCCTGTATCTGCGAATGCGATTCCAGTTCGGACGTGTGTTCTGCCAGAACACACTCCTTCGCTTACTGCTCCAACACGAATGCTACTCATGTTAGCCCTTTTCATTTATTATGCGTTTTTTGCAGCAATGCAATGCGAAAAAGGCATATTGACGGGAGGTTGTGTGTGTGTGTGT